GGGAATGGGCTGGAATGTCATTCCTCCCCTTCTCATCCCTGTCCCTAAACTCCAAAGGTCAGAAAGTTTGAAGTGGATCTTTCTTTGCTTTTGAGAAGGCTGGGTGAGAGATGAAATAAATGAGGGTGACAAACATTTGTTTTGGGGGTGATTTTGGGGGTGCTGGGATTTTAGGAGGAAGAAGCCAAAAATAACACGAGGAATAAAAACACTGGACTTGATCTCAGCAGCACAAAAAGTGGAGTAAGTTGTGCTCAGTCCTCTAAATAAATATTTTTTTAGCATTACTCTGTAGATTTTACATTCTCAACAGCAGAGCAGAAACCGCCGTGCTTCCCTTCCATCATTTCATTACAGATTCATTAGGAAATTCTTGTTTTACACCTTTTGGATAAGTCACACTCCGCATTCACGTGTAAATAAAAGCAAGAATCGACTCGGCCGTGCTTGATCTTTTGCTGGCAGCACTTCCCACACACCGATTGCGAGGGCTTTGCGTGGGCAAAGCTCGATGAGGGGCTGCTCCCAGCACTTGGAGATCCTCAGCAATCAGATCTGTTTGTGTTTATTCCTCCCAAATCCTGCGGAGGAGAGCAGAACCGTTCAGTTTGCGCCTCGCGTGTTTCGTATCGCGCCTTCAAGTCACCGCCCGCTTCGCGTGCGAAGGAGAGCTTTAAAAATAGTTTAATAGAAAGAGGGAATTAATGGAAAAACTAAAAATAATGGTGCAGCAATCAGGCCCTTCATTGCCAAACACCCTTTTGTGGTTTTTTTTTCCCTGGGATCTGTTTCACAACTCTTTTCTGTGCCACAAACCAGTCCTGTAGGTTCGCTCAGCACCCAGGTCATCCAACAAATCAAGAGTCACAACCAGGATAGTTTTTTCCTGATCCTCGTCCTGTTGTCTTCCTCCTGCAAGTCCTTGCTCAAGAAAGGATTGCAAGAGGCACTTTTTGGGTGAAAAAAAGTGTTTAAAAAAGAAGGACSCCCCTCCCCAGCACCTTTTAGATGATGATGGAGAGCACAAACCTTGCTGCTGTTTCAGAGGTGGTGTTCACACTTCAGCTTGGAGCTGCCCTTCCCTCAAGGCTCACATTTCTCATTTCTCTCTTGCTGCCATCGTGCAAAATTCCTTCAGCGTGGCCTTTCCTGTTTATCTGCTCCACTGAATCCATCCCTGCTCAATTGGCCAACGTTTATTTTACTTTTTTTTGTCCTCCTGGCCAAAAGAAATGAGATCTTGGCCTGGCTGTGTC